TATACATCTCGGATTTCATACTTTTGATGCTTTCTCTTTGTAAGCAAAATATCACATTATGATAATATTGAAAAGGCAAGACCTATTGCAACTAATCTGTAAGGATAGTATCTACTTTCAATTTCATGTTTTAATTAATATCTTCCTTTAAGTTTGACAAAGTGGCTAAAAATCAGAAGTTATAGCCACCGGTTGGTATTTAAGTTTCAAAATTAAAAGTTATATTCCTTACTAGTTGCTCGAAGTTATATTCCTTACTACTTGCTCGAAGTCACCAGACATCCCCATTGATAACTCACATTGCTCCTTTGTTATTCCAAGTACTTTGCATACCTCAATCCTGCAGTTTGACAATGTCTGTCTCACCGCGACATAAACAAGCAATTAGACAAACGAAATTAAAATAACAATAAAGCATTAAAACTGAGTAAAATGTATTCCAAAATTATTACCCTAAAGTTTTCTGGTGTTGATGTGTAGTCCGGCATTCCTATTATCATTAGGCCTGAAATTCGAGATTTGGGCAACCAAGTTTAACATGTTTTGCAAGTTCTACATAATCTGATGGTTCAACACCAGATTTTGCTGCAATATTATTTTGCCGATCAATTGATTAATTCACTCATGCGTTTTTTATGCAAGTGAGGTAAATGGAGAAAAACAGAATAACCTTCAGTGCTTAGAGCCAAAGATTAAAGACCAAAAAACTGGTTTCCTCAAAACAAAAAACCTAAGGGTTACTGGCAAAAAGAATCAAGGTTGAGGAGACTCTTAAGGGAGGCTAGATCCTAGGCCACACAGATGAACAACTCATTCAGTTGGGTTTCTCAATCGACCAATTCCTTGTGGACATCCTAGCTAGAGGGAGAAGGTCGATCCCTTCAGAGGCAATAAATGGTTCAGAGATTGCATGAATGGCACCTTCGATTAAGCCCTAAAGGTAACAATTTTCAATTTCATTAATTGATGCCCTAGAATGGGAGAAAACACAGAAGAAGAAGAAGAAGAAGAAGAAAAAGAAGAATCCTTACCTTTTGCTTCTTCGTCAGAGTTTTTCTCAAACGAATGCACGAAGTATAAAGAGGCGGGAGTGTTTTTGGCGTTTTGCTTTCTCTCTCCCTTCCTCTCTCAAATGCAAGAGGCCAACTATTTAGACCGGCTTAAGTCCGGTTCAAATGAAAAAGCGTTGTGTTTGTTATAAAAAACCGCCACCCAGATTTTTATTTTCTTTATTTTAGTTTTCTAGGCGGCGGTCTTTGGAGGAACGCTAGCTCAACTATCTCTATAGCGGTGGTCCTTAAGACTGCCGGTTTAGATCATTTTCTTGTAGTGTTCGTTTGGATACAATGCAAATAGAGTGTAAATCCTGGTTCAGGGTATATTTGCACTCTGGTTCACTTTTGTCTTTGTTTGGCAACATTACATTTATGCATTGACAAATAACAGAACAATGCATATTTACATTGACAATAAGATGTAAAAGTACATCAATAAAAAAAAGAAGTAAATTTGCATCCAAGTGGACTTTTGATAAAAAAAAAAATATGCTTTATTGGATTTCGTATTTGCATCCATTACAGCTAAAAGCCTGTTTGGTAAGAGGGTAAGTTTTGTCAATGCAAAACTAACCCAACTTTGCAATTTATATGAATTGTTTTATACTCTACATATTTGCATTCACACTTATTTGCATCATTTCCAAACGCAGTCTAAAGGTCCCATTTTAGTCCTTTACTTGCAAATTTGGATAAAATGCGATATAAACTAGTTTAGGAATCAACATTTGATTAAACAAAGGAAGGGGAGAGAGAGATGAAATCCATGGGTTCCTTTCAAAATTTCGTCTCATGTAAATCAACTTAATACGATAACAAAGTTCAAGACTTGTCAAATCTTATAGAAATAACCAAAAGTTATCAAAAGCCATGGTTGATTTTGAAACTCCAATTCAAAACCCTTATTTGTGGAGCGACAATGATGCCTCGACATCAGGGTATATCTTATCTCAAATGTCAAGAGTACCTTGCTCCAATTGCAATATACCCAATCTAATTGTCAAGAGCCTACATATATGTTCGGACATAAGGCCATGTTTAGGAGTGTTTAAAAATAAGTGTTTATTTGAAATAAGTTCTTATTTGGGTAGGGATTACACCATTAAGCACTTATTGGTGTTTGGGAAATAAGCCTAAAATAAGTGCTTATTTTTTAGGGATTATAGTTGATAAGGGCAACTTTTGGGCCATAATATCAATAAAAGTAATACTTTTAATAAAATTTAAAAAATAGATTAACATTTTAAAAATAATATCAATTAAGGGCAAAAACGCTGTTCATCATCTTCTTCTTCTTGCAATCCATTCATCAGTGCCGCTACCCCCACCGCCCATCGCCACCTCTGGTAACCTCCAGCAACGCCTCCAATCACCTTTACTGTCTCCGCCCACCACCGGCAACGCCTCCGCCCACCTTCGCCTTGGCCTTTGCGCAACGCCGCCACCTATGCCCACCTCCGCCTCTGCCTCCAGCAATTTCAACAGTAATCATCACAATGCCAAGGAAAAACCGGTTCTCTTTGTGTATCCCTCCAAGTATGTTCTTCTTCTTTAGCTTCCTTGCATTCAAAAGATTAAAGATTTGGTAGAGGACAAAAGTATTAAACATAAGGGTGTCGTTGATCTTCTCACTCACCTCAAAGATAGAGCTTCCATTGAAATGTAGCACCATTAAGACTGCCACCTGATACAGAGCCTGACCAATGAGGTTCCTATACATGATGCTATTGATAAGATTAGACTTGCTTCGATCTACTGGAGGCTTTTCCATGAGCTCCTCGGTAGGCTGCTCTACAGCTAGTGCCAAGGCACCGAATACATCCATTATCAGGTGCACCCACAGTAGCTGGATTGCCGTTAAAGGGACTCTACTAGAAGAAACAGCTTCAATGAAGTTGATCACTAGGGCAGCAACATTCACTATGAGTTGGAACTGGATGAACTTTTGAATGTTGCTGTAAATGCACCTTCCCCGCTTCAAAACAATTATTACAGAATTGAAGTTACCTTCTGCAATGATGATGTCTAATGTTTCCATTTCTATTTGAGTGTATTGGGTCCTCATATATATATATATATATATATATATATATATATATATATATATATCNATATATATATATATATATATATATATATATATATATATATATATATCCCAATATCAGCTTCTTTGATTGCTCTCAGATCATTTCTATCGTCTCCAATAACCACCACGACTTGGTTTTTTCGCTTTAGGCACTGTACCATCATGTATTTGTCAGAGGAGCAGCACCTTGCCATTACCTTGATTTTATCAGYCTTCTCCATCATTTCTCTATTTGAATATTTTCGGAAGTCTTCTCCTTCCACCACTGTTTCTTCAATCTTCAAGTCCTCATCAGGTCCAAGTATCCCAAAATCAATAGCTATAGATCTTGTCGGAGGTGGGTGGAGGCAGGGTCATTGACTAGTGCCGCCGCCCACCTCCAGCAACGTTGATGGAGGCGGAGGTGGAGGTGGGCGGAGACGGCGAAGGCATTGCCGAAGATTGCCGGAGGCGGCAGTGGCACCGATTAGGGGTGGATTCGAGCCGAATGGTACCAGGCTCGAGCTCGGCTTGAGACTATTCTACAAGGCTTGAGCTCGAGCTCGAGTCAAAAGTTCATAAGCTCGAGCTCGATTTTGAGAAAAAAAATATTTTATAAAAATAAAAATTATTTATTTAAAATTAAAAAATTAAGAATTATAATAGTTTTATTATATATATATATATATATATATATATAAAGATATATATTCGAGTCGGTTTGTGATCCTCACAAGACGAGCTCTAATAGGCTCGAGCTCGGCTCATTTAATAATCAAGCCATTGAATTGGACTCGAGCTCGAGCTTGAGCTTGGTTCAAACCGAGCCGTGTCGAGCTCGAGCAGCTCGTGAAAAGCTCGGCTCATTGCCACCCCTAGCACTGATGAATGGATTGGAAGAGAAAGAAGATGAATAGTATTTTTGCCCTTAATTGATATTATTTTTAAAAATTTAATCTATTTTTGAAAATTTATTAAAAGTATTACTTTTATTGATATTAAGGCCCAAAAGTTGCCCTTATCAGCTATAATCCCTATTTTTTAAGCCCAAATTTCTAGCTTTTTTAAGTGCTTATTGTATAAGCACTTATTCAAATTTTCTTCTTCCAAAATTATCTCTAGTTGAATTTTATAAAAGTGCATCTATAAAAGTACTTTCATAAAAGTGCTTTTATAAAAGTGATTTCATAAAAGTATTTTTATAAAAGTACTTTTACATAAGTGCTTTCATAAAAGTGCTTTTATAAAAATACATTTATAAAAGTGCTTTTATAAAGGTGCTTTCGTAAAAGTGCCAACACATGAATGGGACAAAAATGCTATTTTTAATTATGGATTTTTATGACTAAAATGGTCATTACCTTATTTACATGAGAAATAAAAGAACATGGGTAAATGCACTTATCTGGATAAGTGTTTCTCAGAAAAAACTTATCCAAATAACTACATTTACTCGAGTAAATAACTTACCGAAAAGTGAACAGAACCTTAATGTCAATAAAGATTTACAAAGATAATAAAATCTTTTGGAATGGGGACATAGACAATGAAATGAACTTTCAAGGGTTTGCTAATTCACCTTGTTTAAGCTGGAACTGAACCTGTGTTTTGACACTAATAAAAACCTCTCATATACTTCTTGGATAGTCGATATTTGGCTGCCTTATCCGGTGGTAAAAGAGGAAAGCATCTTTTAGGGGTATTATAGTAAATTTATTTTGTAAGGGAGGTATAGGGTTTTATAAAGGGGGCGGTGAGGAATGAAAACTAAACTACTAGTTCAAGCAGGTTCTAATACCATCTGAAGAACTATTGAGTGTAAAAGCTTAAATTGTTAGATTATGCCCCTGAATATGGTTTTCTTCTCTAAGAACAGGTGATCCAAATTAATGTTCAAAAATCATATTTAGTGGAGTTTGATTCAACTTGAAGCAATGAACTGTATATTTATTTATATTGAGACAGTATTGTCTGAAAGCAAAATGCGTGTGACCACATTAATTGACAGCATGACATCCAACTACACATGATGCAAACATATTAATTTCAACCCAATCCGACCGATGATCCAACAAATCTTACAAATATTAATCCGAATCCAAATTCATTAAAAGATGTCAGATGTCTGAATCTGATTTGATCTGATTTAATTACCCATGGGCCCATAAAATTTAACAAAAAATATACCTTTTCACCCCTATTGCATATTGCAAACCTCTCATGATGAATGCAGCGTACAGGGAGATGTTTTCAATATACAATCGGATGTCATGCTCTCAACATATTTGCACACTTGTTGCTTTCAAGAGATTTGGGCTCCTTGTTGGGTATGCAAATGGAGCTTAGATTTGTTACCCACAAGAATGATATTCATTAAAATGGCATGTTTGAATTAAAAAATTGTCTATGTTTTTATTCGTCTTGTGTAGGGTGTCAATCGATCGGTTTTGGTTTGGATCCAATTCGATCCATACTTTATCAAATTGGATTTGAACAGTCTATTATAATTATTGGATTGAGCCAATCCAAAATAAATTAGTCCATATTCTTATTGGTTTGAATTGGACCTAAACCAAATTTTCAATAATCCGATCATGAAGCCAAACCCTTGTCCAATTTGAAATCAATCAAAACCGAAGCCAGCAACAAATCACTTCTACGAAAGTAGTTTTACGAATGCACTTTTATGAATGCTCTTTTATGAAAACACTTTTACAAAAGCACTTTTATAAAAGTAATTTTATGAAAAGTATTTTTACGAAAGCACTTTTACAAAAATACTTTTATAAAAGCATTTTTACAAAAGTATTTTTATGAAAGCACTTTTATGAATTCACTTTTACAAAAAACTTTTACGGAAATACTTTTATAAAAGTACTTTTATGAAAGCACTTATATAAAAGCACTTTTATGAAAGCACTTTTATGGAAGCACTTTTATGAAAGCACTTTTATGAAAGAATTTTTACGAAAGCACTTTTA